CTAAAGCGGGCGGAAAGGATGGAGGTTTGTATCAACCTTCGCAGGGACCAAGCTCCAGGCTGCCACACAAGTGCGATCTTGCATAACTTCAGAGGGTGGCCGAGATTGGCCCGTATGGCTACGCTATCAAGTTCTCTTTATCCTCCCACCAGGGCTTTCATCACTTCCCTGCTCTAAGCGGCCCATTAAAACAAAAAGTAGGCCATGAAACGGTAGAGTAAGTTCCTACCCACAAATGACCAGCTCAGAAAAACACCAATGATCCTAACATGACATAAAACATGTTAACTCATTTCCCTGAGGACTTTTTCTGAAAGGAGGTTTTGCTCACAGCCATCCTACAGGAGTTTCTGACTTGGTTCCCAGCTATTGTAATGCATATTACTATACATCTGATCCACCCCCGGAAAGTTTCTTTACTACTTTTCTCTGGACCCTTATTGACAAGTCAGAGCATTGCCTTTTGGTCTGGCCATAGTTCCTGTTGTTTTTGCCAAGGCAAGGTGTCTCAGGCCCTACAGAGGAAGGACCAGTTTATCTATACGTATCTCAGCAACTGGGTAAATGGAGGAAACTGCTGACTTTGGATGAGGTTTGGTCCTTCTTGGAATCACATGGCTGGGTCGTAAACCAACCCAACGTTCATTCTCCTGCTCTTGGGAACTAATCAACGCAGTGATTTCTGCATCAAGACCATAATTTCTATCTCAGTCCCACCCCTTTCTGAGTTGTGCCTGAGCAGTAACTTTTCTATCACAGTAAGGATTTCTAAAGGTTTATTGAGCAGGCCAAACACGTATGGGTCCTGTCACACTATGGTTGTAGCATGGGAGATATGGGTTGTAGACTCAGAAACAGTGAAGGGAGGAAGCCCGGAAAGAAGACAAGAGGGGCTTGTAAGTTTAAAAAAGACTTTAAATTTACAAGATACTGGAATAGTCACACATAGAATTACAGAGATTTGTTTATTGGGGCACTGCAACTATCTACTCCAGTAGACACAGGCAGGACTGAAGGTTCTGCTAACCCCCAACAATATCCAAAACAACACTGAGAGAAGGATATAGCACCATCTATTGGTGGAGGTGCTCGCTACCTGAATCATTACAACTTTTCTCCCCTCTAATTAAATTAGCATTTAAAACAGTAACTCCTAGGAACCCAGGCAGTCTGCCACCCACTTAGGTTTGTGTGTGCATCTGCCTGCCCAAGTCTATAGTCAGTCATGAACCCCATGCTCATAGTTGGATCCAGATTATCAGAGCACAGAAATCGTGTCCTTAAGGTCAAGCTTCTGTGTTGCGGACAGACTGTCTGATGAAGACAGCAGTGTGTTGAGGTCCCGAGAACACCCTGGGAATTCCTCCTCTACAACTGGTCTCCCATGATGAAACACAAGTCCCTGGTGAGGTACCTCCCAATCGTCTTCTGCTGCATCCCTCTGGAATAGCTGTTGAGCATCCTCAGTGGCTGCCCTCCCCTTTCTTTCCATGAGTCTGTCCACCAATTCTTGATGCGCTGCAATGGGGCGAGCGCTTACCATTTGTAGCAACAAGGATACGTTGTTTGGTTTCATAATCACTGAATGAGATCCCACCAAAAAGAAGTAAGTTTGGGATTTCCCCCTCCCCCCGCTTTTTCTCATCGCAGAGCCACACCAGCTCTCCTTTCTGGATTTCCTTTCTTCCTCCTCTGATTGCACAGGTGCGTTCCGCTCTTGGGGTCCGTGTGCCCCATCAAAAACGTCTTGCCTCAGCAGCACCCATCCAGGTGGCTCACGCACCCTCCACTGTTGCATTACACTGCAGGTATAAAG